TTACTCCTTGGAAGAAAAGTTATGACCAACCTAGACAGCATATTAAAAAGCAGAGACATTACTTTTTCAACAAAGGTCCATCTAGTCAAGGCTATGGTTTTCTAGTAGTCATGTATGAATGTGAGATTTGGACTATAAAGAAAGCTGAGCACCAAAGATTCGATGCCTTTAACTGTGGTGTTAGAGACTTGAGAGTCCCTTGGACTGCAAGGAGATCCAACTAGTCCATCCTAAAGGAGATCAGTCCTGGGTGTTCATTGCAAGGACTGATGTTGAAGCTGAAACTCCAATACTTTGGCCACCTGATGTGAAGATTTGACTTACTTGGAAAGACCCTGGTGCTGGGAAAGATGAAGGCAGAAGGAGTAGGAGATGACAGAGGATGAGATGGTTGGATGACATCACCGACTGAATGGACATGAGTTTAGGTGGATTCCAGGAGTTGGTGATGGACAGGGAGGCCGAGCGTGCTGTGGTTCATGGGGTCGCAAAGAGTCAGACACGACTGAGCGACTGAACTGAACTGAAAGGTATTACATACTTGACATTTACTTGGAGTAGATCTTAAGCATTCTCACTGCAAAGGAAAATGAATTAACTTTATGAGGGGTTAGATGCACTAATTTTCTTGGTAATCATCCCATTTTGTATATATGGACATGAGTTTGAGCAAACTCTGGGAGATATTGAAAGACAGGCAGGCCTGGTGTGTTGTAATCCATGGGGTCTCAAGTTTGGACATGACCTATCGACTGAACAACAACATTTTATGTAAATCAAATTATTATATTGTACATTTTAACATGTAAAATTATATTTGCAAGTTATTTCTCAATAAAGTTGGGGAAATAGGTACATAATATATACAATAAATGCATACATATTTATTTACACATATAAGCATTTATTTAGAGATATATAATCATAAAAATTTTGTGTATATATGCACTTTATTATATGTGCTTCTGTACTTATATGATAGATGGGATATTTGCTTATGTGTATTTATAACATACATACAAAATGTACATAAGCACACATAATGTACTTAATATATTCTTCAGAAAAAGGATTGAGTTTTTCACAGGAAATTGGATAGGCACTACAGAAGCACAGGTTTCTGCCATGAATCCTTTCAGATGTGTTAAAGGTAGTAGCTGTTTCGGCCTCCTTCTTAGGCGTAGTCAGAAAGAAGGGATGATTGAAGTCTGGGGTATCAGAAATGTCCTGAATCTTACTTTGTTTTGGCTCTTTTCTTTTTTCATTCAGAAATTCTTTCCTTGGAACTTTCCGTTAGTGTCTGCTTTGAAACAATAATAGCTACACTCAGGGGAGAAGTTGCTTTAATGTCTTTTGCTGAAGTTGGAGCATGTTTGTGTTTGCTTTCAGTTAACAAGATCCTACTGTATGCACTACTGTACCAGCACCAAAGCAACAGGGTAAATTCATCATCTTGGTTTCACTTTTATAGACCTGGAACACAGCACTTGCTTATGAATGAAGATATACATTTAGAAGGCAATTTCCCCTTTTGTGTCAATGATTTGATGCTTTGTTTTACATACATTTAAAATATTTATACAGTCCTGATAAGCTTTTAAAAATAGATACAAATACAGGAAATTTCTGTGTCCTCCTAAATTGAGAAGCTATAGGATTTATGTTACTTAACAAAATTCTGATTTAAAATGTATTTTCTATAAAATAACAGCATTTCTTTACTTGACTGTTTTTAATAAAAATAAATAAGGCTTATAAAAGTCTTTCAAATTAGTGTAACAAATTCTTCTGACTTCTAGTTTTGAGATGCCAATTGTTTTATTTCTTTACTTCCATGATTATGAAAATCCTATTGAAATGAACAAGGGAATGCTAAAACATTTAAAAAGATTATTAACATCCATCGTTTGTAAACATGTGAGTATATGTTGCCTTGAAAAAAATGTTAGTGGAAATGTAAATGTAAATTATGTCCACTAAAAAAAATTTAAAGATATGTGTAAAAATTAAAGGATAATCAAAATATGGAAATATGTTTTTCCAAGATGTTTACATATAATTACTTACAATAATTTAAAAAATTTTATGCAGATGAAAATGCTCAGATTGATCAAATAATCTATACCTTAAATGTGCATTAATTTGCTTTAAAAGTACAACAAATGAAGATGATAATAAATGTCAGCCATTTAAATATTTTAAGTGTATGTACTCAGTTAAATAAGAACTTAAATGTATGTGCTGCATATGCATGTGTGTTTCTATGTCTGAAGATACATGGCAGAACTAATTTGTTTTAGCAGTTTGAGGGACAAATAGAGTAGGCTTATAAGAAATTTTAAACTTCTAAACTTATTTTCAACAAATATAACTATATTACTTTTATTTGGAGCTAACTGCTTCCATTTTAAAATAGATATATAAATCATTTAGTATTGTTAGATATTATGCATTTACTCATTTAATTTATTCATGTTTATTACAGATTTCCCTTGCCTGCTTGAGGCCTTACCACAGAAGGTCGCAGGATCAAAATGTGAGACAGTGATAAGGATAAATTCGAGGACTAGGGGTTAGGTGAGGTCATTGTTCAAGGGAGATTTGTAGAGATTAGTTGTGGTCATAAAGGGCAAAGATGGAGCTTATTGCTTTCCATAAATATTTTTTAGAAGTTATTTTATTGATTTATTCTTCAGTCTTCTGTGAATTCTTTAGCCGTATCAGAAGTTCTTAAATTCAGTGCTGAAACAGACCGAAGGCTTGGGTCATTCGCAGGGTTGCAGGGTTCTGACCTAGCAAGTAAGAGAGTGCAGAAGGGCAGAGAAGGTTCATTTTCTTGTTAGTTTCCCTGGAGTGCAGCTGCACTGAAGAAGTCTTTGGTTTCTAGGTCTTTAGGATGAATTCCTTAATGGCTCTCTGGGTACCAAATAGCCCTCTCTAGTGTATATCAAACCAATTCACTAGTGGCTCTAATAAGGTATTTTTGTAACTACATACCACATGACAACTCAGGGCTATCCTTTCCGCTGTATTTTTCTGGCAGGACAATTAAAAGGCCAGCTCACCTTGTCATCTGACATCGTCTGGGATGGCAAAAAATGCAACTCTTAGCAGGCAATCTGAATTTGAACATGATTCTGTCACTTTCTTGTTCTGAAACCTTGAGCAGATCATCACTTTTTTGAGCCTTATGTGTCTTCTCTATAAAATGCAGATAACAATAGTATTACCTCAATGAAGCTTTTTGGAGATTAAAATGAGGTAGCATATGTAGAAATCTTAGTACACATTCAGTAAATGGTCAATGGCCTATGTTCTCTAAAAGGCTACAAAAATCAAAGTAAATATTTATTTAAACTTAAATGATCATATATTTTCAGTGGCATAGTTTAATATCAAAACAGAATTGTATTCTTAAATATATATAGTCTCTCTATGAAAATTCTCTTATGGCAGCTACTCTATGGGGTAATTTCTTCAAATAAATTTCATTGATCAAGACCATGAAGGTGTGATTTTTAATAAACAATGATAGAACATCCTTAATTGTTTATTTTTTGTTTTCAACTGTATAATGCTATTATTCAGGTTATTATTTATACTGCATAAGAAAGTATAATTATTTTATATGAAGTCATTATGTTGCTATCAGGAAGTGCTTTAATTGTGTAATTAAACTAAATTTGCTAAAACATCTACAGTGTATTGGACAGTCCTGCCATTAGAGAAATACTGCCTGGGAGATACGGTGGATTAAAACACTAAGAAACTGACCTGTTGCCATTAAGATGTATTAGAAAAACACATCCAAATGAATCACACAGAAGCTATTATTATTCCAAAATAAAAGTTAAACAGACAATATCATCCTTCCTCAGTCCCAACTGTGCTTCATAGTGTTGGCCACAATCTGTATTTTTTGTTCTTTATGACACTATACATTTGTTCTTTTTATTTTTACAATCCTTCTTTTTCACTCATTCCTTTTCCTTCTCCTCCCCTTGCAAATTGTGTTTTCCTCAATTCTAGCACCTTGTAACTTTGTTCTTTTATTTCTACTTTCTTTCCTTGCGAGATGATTCTGTCTTTGAGATGCTATGTTTGTGTTCCCCTAATTATTATCTTCTCTAACTTTGAATACCAATTTCTATAACTTTCTCTACCATATATTAGTACTAGTTACCATGTTACCCCAGACTCATTGTCTGAATCCAGATTCTTCACCCACTCCCACAAATTAGTTCCTATCTTCTGTGAGGGTCTCTAATTTTGCCAATGATATTTTCTAATAAATTCTAGCCCCTGCACGAGTAACTCCTTTGGAGCCACTAAGGCTTAGGCTGTAAATAATGAACCTCTTAGAGGAATTTGCTCAGATTTTGCTCCTGCTCTTCCACTTGGCCGTTTATTGTCTCCTGTCATCTCTGTTATCCTTTATGTAAGTACTATAATTGGTGGTGGGTTTCAGGCTTACTTTAATTTGGTAAATGATATAAATTATATGCTTGATACATAATATGGGCTCAAAAAATGTTAGATGCTTTGAATTTCGTTATTGCTCTTCTCTTGTGTACTAATTCTCACTTCACCGCTAACTCACCTCTTCCAACTTCTATATTTGCATATTTTATGTGTTCCCTACATCTAAAACTCAAGTCAGTGTTCAGTATTCCATCGACTTTGCCTTGGTATGATACAAGCTGCATTGTTTGGACTAGCAACAATGAGATACCTTGATTGTTCCAAGTTCCTAATCTCGATAACTGGTAGAACATTTTAACTTTCTCTAGTAAGTTACTGTTAAATAAGTATTGACACTCAAGTTTATCATCTTTGCATAAAATTCTAAGGAATTATTTTTTAAAGACAGAAATTATATCAACAGTATAATTGCTTTTGTTGGACATAAAGAGTACTACATACTTTAGGAAAAGAGTGTGAAATTGGAATTGCTGTGAGTACATGTGTAATCTGATAAAGACGACATGGGCACTCTCACATCTTCTCAAGTGATGAGGCCCCAGTGTTTACTTCAGTTCAGTTCAGTCACTCAGTCATGTCCGATTCTTCGCAATCCCACGGAATACAGCATGCCAGGCCTCCCTGTCCATCATCAACTCCCGGAGTCCACGCAAACCCATGTCCATTGAGTAGGGGATGCCATCCAGCCATCTCATCCTCTATTGTCCCCTTCTCCTCCTGCCTTCAATTTTTCCCAACATCAGGGTCTTTTCCAGTGAGTCAGTTCTTTGCAGCAGGTGGCCAAAGTATTGGAGTTTGAGCTTCAACATCAGTCCTTCCAATGACTATTCAGGACTGATTTCCTTTAGGATGGACTGGTTGGATCTCCTTGCAGTCCAAGGGATTCTCAAGAGTCTNGAAAAATAAAAACAGACATATTCATGGAAGGATACATGATTATCAGACTTACTGTGGTTGAAGTGTCACATCTCTTGGATTGGCCTATTGACATAATACAATTTAATTAATAATGCCAGCGGGTATTTTTATAGTAATTTTATTATGAAAATATTATTCACTGATTTTGGGTGGCTTGTGATTGAGTGGGAAACAATATAAAGCAATTTAACGAGGTAATGGGAATGTCCTTTATCCAGATAGGGCTGTACTTTATGTAGGCTTATGAATTTGTCAAAATTCACTGGACTGTCCACTCAAGAATTATACATCTACTGTATATAAATTTTATCAAAAAAAGTTAACATTTCTTAATGTTAATATCTTCATTACTGAACTCTAGTTTGTGGATCTGCTTTTTTCCAGTGGAATAATAGTATGATTTAGTAGCTAACTGTTAACTAACTGCTAATTGTCTAATTTTCTTGGGAAAATAAATACAAATATTAAGGCTACTGGGAACCATATTTGTCAGTGTTGGAGGTGGGATTGACAAATAATAGAAAATGGGAACTTGAGAATGAGCCTTGTGTTAAGGAGAATCTTAAGACAATAAGAGATTTGTCAGAAGAAAACCTAAGCCAGATTGAAGGGATTTGCATTGACCAAATCTAGGGATGTTTAATTATTTAAAGAAATAAAATGAGAATGCAATCTAATCCATTGACTAAAAATAGAAATTCATGAGCTCATATTGATGCAAGTAAACAAATTAATTAATTAATTAATTAAAATGGGAGAAGGGAATACTTATTCAGTAGAATACCAGCTAATAAATACAGAAGGAATGATAAAGTTAGATAATCTTCAAAATGATTTCTAAAATTAATAAAGATTATAAAAAGATGTTTAAGTAATCTCAAAGCATCACACAAATTACATATGACAATTCAGAAAAATCATAACTTTACTGTGAAGAAATCAGATGGACCCCATTTTAAGAGAATAATCAAAGTGCCATCACTAACTTGATGTGCCTCCTGTTACAATTTGTGGGAATGGTGTTCATTGGAAGGACTGATGTTGAAGCTGAAACTCCAATACTTTGGCCACCTGATATGAAGAACTGACTCATTTGAAAAGACCGTGATGCTGGGAAAAATTGAAGGCAGGAGGAGAAGGGGATGACAGGGGATGGATGGCATCCCCTACTCAATGGACATGGGTTTGGGTGGACTCCGGGAGTTGATGATGGACAGGGAGGCCTGGCGTGCTATGGTTCATGGGGTCGCAAAGAGTCAGACACAACTGAGTGACTGAACTGAACTGAACTGAACTGTACTTGCTATTCTTTGGAACTCTGGATTCAAATGGGTATATCTTACCTCTTCTTTGCCTTTCACTTCTCTTCTATTCACAGCTGTTTGTAAGTCCATTCGGCTTTCTTTATTGCCAACTGGGCTAATTCTACAGTGTGATGGGCAGAGTTAAAAAATTAATTATATGGGGAACATGGATGAAATACATAGAATTCTGCCCCAGGACTTTTCACTGATTTTTAACAAAATGCATTTTAGGTTGAATACCTTGTTATTAAATTTTTGAAAAATCTGGTCATATATATGTATTTATACTAAGTTGAAATGAAATTGATATAAACTAGAAACATAATGGTTTTCACTTGTGGAAATTGTATATCGGATTATTTGTGGAAGTCGATTATGTATTTCAGGGCCTAGTATTCATACAGTCGTGCAGTCTCCTCCCAGTATATTCCATTTAGCTCCTGACCTGCTTTATCTGAGAGAAGGCAGCAGAATTGAAGGTGTGCCTGTGAAAGACTAAAGCCTTAAGGCCTAGCAGGCTGTGTTTTGCGCTCTGGGTTACACTGGCCAACACGTAAGAAGTCTGAGTGCTCCCTTACAACGTCCTGGGAGGCAGTCGTTCTGCTCAACCGGAGAAACCATGAATCACCAAGAGAAACCAAAGAACCTGGGCAGCAGCCTCAGTTGGGCTCGCAGTTGGCAGCTTATGCTAACTCTCCAGGAATGTGAGAGAGGCCATCAAAGAAGTGGATTATTCAGCTCCAGGAAAGCCACCCTGCTGATGCCATATGGAGCATAGATGAGCTGCCGTGTTCAAATTGCAGAATTGAGAGCAAATAAAGGTTGTTGTCTTTTCACTAAGTTTTGAGGAAACCTGTCACGCAGCCATAGATTAACAGAAACGTATTTTTCTACATATTGAGGTATTTAAATTTATTAAGCTATGACTGCTAGAATTAATGTGATTTCTTTTGAAATACATTTTAAAAGTGTATCTGTGAAGTTTTCAAGTAGTGAGGCAAATTATATTTTGTTATTATACCTTGCTGTGAGATTTATGCCTAATCACAATTCTACATGTATGGAGCAATTTATAGTTGTATGAATAG